TTCAACTTTAGGTTCAGGTTCAACCCTCAACATCAACACTTGAGGAAGGAGACATGATAGAGGCTTATTCAAAGGCAGATCAAAATCAAGATACAAAAGTAAAAGCAAGTTTGGACCCAAAAAGCAAGTTGAATGTTGGAATTGTGGCAAACTTGGTCATTACATGAGGAGTTGCACAAAAATAAAAAAAAAACTTAAAGCTGACTCTATGAATACCACCACATATGTTGCACAAAAATAAAAAAACTTGAAGCTGACTCTATGAATACCACCACATATGAGATACAAGATGCTTTGATTCTTGCAGTACAAAGTTCACTTGATGATTGGATTCTTGATTTTGGTGCTTCATTTCACTGTACACCACACCATGAAATAATGCAAAACTATGTCGTTGGAGATTACGGTGTAGTTTATTTGGCCGATGGACAACCAATGAATATCGTGAGCATAAGAGATGTGCAAATCAAGACAATGAATGGATCTATATGGAACTTACAAAATGTAAGACATGTTCCTGGATTAAAGAAGAAACTGATCTCTATTGGATAACTTGATGATAGTGGTCATTTAATCCTTTAAAGAAACTGATCTCTATTGGATAGCTTGATGATAGTGGTCATTCAATCCTTTTTTGTGGAGGAATGCGGAAAATATCAAAGAGAGCAATGGTTTTAGCTTGAGGAAAGAAAACCGGCACCTTGTATATGAACATAAGATTTGCAGACATTATTGCCTCTACTGAAGTAGAAAATCAAGCACAACTATAGCACTGTAGACTTGGCTATATGAGTTAAAAGAGGATGAAGATATTTCACTCGAAGGGAAAGCTGCCAGAGTTAAAAAATATTGATATAAATATTTATGAAAGTTGTCTTCTTGAAAAATAGAAGAAGCTTAGTTTCTTAATGGTTGGCAAGACCTTAAGATCAAGAAAGTTAGAACCGGTACACACATATTTATGGGAACCTTCTTCAGTATCGTCTCTTGGAGGTTCTCATTATTATGTGACTTTCATTGATGATTTTAGCAAAAAGATAAATGGGTCGTGTTTGAAATATTCAATAAATAAAAGGATATGGTCATGACTGAATTAGGTTTAAAGCTGAAATGCTTGAGATCTAATAATGAAGGATAATACATTGATGGAGGTTTCCAAGAGTATTGTGTTATTAGTGGTATTAGAATGGAAAAGACTATTCCAGACACATCGCAACAAAATGGCATTGTTGAACAGATGAACAGGATCATCAATGCATGGGGTTGCATTCTGGGCTGATGCAGTTTATACTGCAGTTTACTTAATTAATTGTGGTCCATCAGTTCCTTTGGAATTCAGATTGCCCGAGGAAGTATGAAGAGAAGGTTACCTCAAACATTCTGGGCTGACGCAGTTTATACTGCAGTTTACTTAATTAATTGTGGTCCATCAGTTCCTTTGGAATTCAGATTGCCCGAGGAAGTATGAAGAGTAAAAGAGGTACAACTCTCTCATCTTAAGGTTTTTAGGTGTGTTTTCTATGTTCATATAGATTCTGATGCTCGCAACAAGCTAGATGCTAAATCCAAGAAATGTTTTTTCATTGGCTATAGAGATGAATAATTTGGGTTTCTGTTATGAAATGATCAGAACAGAAAGATTATCAGAAGTAGGAATGTGATCTTCAATGAGAAAGTTTTGTATAAAGACAAATCAAGTGTAAAAACAAATATGACCGATTTAGATACAAGTTCATAAAAATCTAAATTCATAAGATTATAAGAGTTTCCTAATGTTACCGAGTAGAATAAAAATCAAGAGTCTTTATAAGAAGATTCAAGTATATTTGTACCCACTATTACACAAGAAGATACAAAACCAAGTGAACCAACTATTTATGTTCGTAGGTCTTCAAGAACTGTAAAGCCCCCACAACAATTCACACTTCTACTGAATTATATTTTGCTGACAGATGGTGGTGAATCGCTAACTTATAAAGAATCCTTACAACATGAAAACTCAATCAAGTGAGAGTTAGCCTTGAAGGATGAGATGGATTTGTTGTTGAAGAACAAGACTTGAGAGCTAACCACACTACCTGAAGGAAAGAAGACTTTAGAAAATAAGTGGGTTTACAGAGTAAAGACTGAGCATGACAGAAGCAAACGGTTCAAGTAAGATTTGTTGTAAAAGGGTTTCAATCAAAGAAAGAGATTGACTATCCTAAGATATTATCTCCACTTGTGAAGCTTACAACAATCAGAGTTGTTCTGGGGATAGTAGCTGCATAAAATTTATATCTTGAGCAATTAGATGTAAAAACAACATTTCTTTATGGTGAATTCGAGGAAGACATTTATATGCAACAACCAGAGGGGTTTGCAATTCAAGAAAAGGAGAACCAAGTCTACAAGCTAAAGAAAAGTTTATATGGTTTGAAGCAAGCTCTAAGACAGTGGTATAAGAAGTTTGACAACTTCATGTGTAGTTCGGGGTACATAAGATGTCAAACTGATCATTATTGCTCTGTCAAATATTTTGACAACTCCTATATCATTCTACTATTATATATGAAAGATATGTTGATTGCAGGATCTAGCATTTAAGAGATTGACAAGTTGAAACAACAGTTATCAAAATAGTTTAAAATGAAGGATCTGGGAGTTGCTAAACCAATACTTGGTATGAGAATCATTAGAGATAAAGACGAGTATAGTAAAAGCTTTCACAAATATAGTATGTCAAGAAGGTTCTTAGCAGGTTTAGTATGGATAATGCTAAACTAATAAGTATACCTCTAGAGAATCATTTCAAGCTCAACAAAGACCAGTCACCAAAAACTGAGCTAGAATGTGGATATATGAATAAGATTTCATATGCCTCAGCCATTGGCTCTTTGATGTATGCTATGGTCTGTATCAGACCAGACATTACCCATGCAGTAGGAGTTGTAAGTCAATATATGAGCAATCCTGGAAAGCAGCATTAGGAAGCAATAAAATGGATCATGAGGTACTTAAAAGGTTCCTTAAAGACTTGTCTTACCTTCACAGCTAGTGGTTGAAACTTGAAGATTTTATAAACGCTGATTTAGCAAGAGATATTGATAGTACAAAGAGCACTACATGATATGTATATACTTTAGGAGACACTACTGTCTCTTGGAGTTCTACCTTGTAAAAGATCATCTCTCTTTTAACAACAAAAGCTGAATATATTGCAATCTCAGAATCTGCAAAAGAGATCGTATGGTTGCAGAGTTTCCTGAAAGAATTAGATAAGATGAATGGAAAAGATACTATATATAGTGACAGTTAGAGTGCAATCTTCATTGCAATCTTCATTGCTAAGAATCCAGCATTTCACTCTACGACTAAATATATTTAAATCAAATACCTCTTCATCCGACAATTGCTAAACAATGAGCAATTAATGCTAGAAAAGGTTTGTGGAAGCAATAATCTAGCTGACATGTTAACCAAAGGAGTTACACTTAATAAACTGAAGTTGTATAAAACTTAGGTTGATTTTCACGAATAAAAGATAATTTCATTGTTTGTCTCCAAGTGGGAGATTATTAGTATCATGGAGACAAACAATACCCCACCTTTACTATATGCTTAGTAGGAACATCTAATCTCTCACTTAGCACAAAATAGAGGCATAAATGGTGGCAAATATTTTGCCATGATTTATGGCTATGATTTCTTGCCCTTATCTTTGTTTGTAATTAAACACATTGAAGAGCCAAGGAAAGTAGCATAGAATATAGAGAGAGTGAAGAAGATTGAGAGAGCTTGAGTAAGGGTGAGTCAAGAGTTTTTTTTTCTTCTTTTTGTTTGTATTACTTATTTAATTGATTAAACAAGAGATATTGATAGTACAAAGAGCATTACATGATATGTATATACTTTAGGAGACATTACTGTCTCCTGGAGTTCTACCTTGTAAAAGATCATCTCTCTTTTAACAACAAAAGCTGAATATATTGCAGTCTCAGAATCTGCAAAAGAGATCGTATGGTTGCAGAGTTTCCTGAAAGAATTAGATAAGATGAATGGAAAAGATACTATATATAGTGACAGTTAGAGTGCAATCTTCATTGCAATCTTCATTGCTAAGAATCCAGCATTTCACTCTACGACTAAATATATTTAGATCAAATACCTCTTCATCCAACAATTGCTAAACAATGAGCAATTAATGCTAGAAAAGGTTTGTGGAAGCAATAATCTAGCTGACATGTTAACCAAAGGAGTTACACTTAATAAACTGAAGTTGTATAAAACTTAGGTTGATTTTCACGAATAAAAGATAATTTCATTGTTTGTCTCCAAGTGGGAGATTATTAGTATCATGGAGACAAACAATACCCCACCTTTACTATATGCTTAGTAGGAACATCTAATCTCTCACTTAGCACAAAATAGAGGCATAAATGGTGGCAAATATTTTGCCATGATTTATGGCTATGATTTCTTGCCCTTATCTTTGTTTGTAATTAAACACATTGAAGAGCCAAGGAAAGTAGCATAGAATATAGAGAGAGTGAAGAAGATTGAGAGAGCTTGAGTAAGGATGAGTAGAGAAGAGTTTTTTTCTTCTTCTCTTTGTTTGTATTACTTATTTAATTGATTAATACAAACCAGTAGCTCTGTGGAGTAAACAAGTTGTTGAACCATGTAAATTTATGTGTGTTTGATTTTTGCAATGTCCTAACAAAATATCCTTCTCATTATTTAGATAAATTGTTGAAACATGTAAATTTGAGAAAATCATGATTCCAGGATAGAAGTTTTTACTTGTTCCTCGTCATACTGTGAAGAAGCTTCGATGAAAGATTAGACAACCAAGCAAAGAATTATCATCTGTTGACATGGTCCCACATCAAAATATCGATGTTCCAAACAGTTCATTCTTCTCACAGAGTGATATTACTGTTTCAAAAGGCTTGAAAAGATCCTGCAAAAGTGTTTTAAGGTAGGAAACCAGTGTTAAAAAGCATGTAAGTTTCGCATGCTTTGATGTCAAGCACAAGGCAATAGATTATTCCATAAATTCAAAGAAGAAAGGCAATAAGGTGGAGGACAGTTCTTTAAAGAGCTCTAATAATGTTTCTCAATTTCATGGGCGAAAAAGGCAACCATGAAATTTTGCTGTATGGCAGCCATCACTTACCATGATCAGCTAAAGCTAAGCTGAATGATTGAATAATTAATAATGACGGTATTCTGATCTACACTGGAACATCTCACACTAATCCTTACATCTCCCTCCTCTAATTAATTTCAGAAATACTACAAATTATTTCATGTAATTGTAAACTCTAAAACAATATTACAATTCACAATGATCATCTTCTACATGTGTATGCCTGTATTTGTTCATGATGGAAGTCATTTATGGTTCAATTTTTTCCGATCTGCCATCTTACCAAGTTGTTCATCAGCTCATAGCAATTCTACCATTATTCCCTCTTCCATGCATCTCCGCACAAATACCAACAATCTACATATCTAATAGCAGTCATTAAACACCACAATGACTTACATCCCATTTGTCGGCACACCACACTTTTTCAAAAAAAAGAATGATATTTTTTTTATTCAAATCCCATTTGTTGGCACACCACACTTTTTAAAAAAAAAAGAATGATATTTTTTTTATTCAAGTTATTTTTTAATATTTTTTTGATCATTTTGATTTACTAATATAAAAAAAAATAAAAAAAATAAAAAAAATACTATTTTAATATATTTCCAAACAAAAAATATTTTGACAAATAATTGTTATCACAATACCAAACATTACCTCTTAAGCTATTAGATTTAGACTATACAAGTTTATTAGAAAATCAAGACATCGCAAGGGTGGCTAGGAAATCGAGGAAAGTGATTTTTTATCCTAAAATCTATTTTCAACTATTTTTTTTATGCTCTAAAGACCCAAACAAATATATTTATAGGCTCGAATCAATAAAAAAATAAATCAAACATCAATTCAAATTCAAAAAATTAAACATCAACTCAAAAAAATCCTCTCATCGAATGAAACTAATTGACACTAACATTGATGCTTTTAAGGATGAAATGTATTGGTGCAAATTGATGAAATTAGTGCAAAGTGATAATTTTCTCTTGTTAATAGAAATCTAATGATTTTCTCTTTTCTCTCTCAAACCAAGAACTAAAAATTGAGAAAAAAAAGTTTTGGACTGAAATGAGACTCTAAAAAACAAAAAGGACTATAATAGAAGAAAAGTAAAAATAAAGGGGGTCAAAAGGAACTTTATCATGCTAATTTTAGATTTATCACGTCAATTTGCTACTTTTTACACTTTGATCCTACAGCTTTTAATTATTTTTTTCTAAAATAAATCATATGAAATTAGTTACTAATTTGATAATAAAAGAATCCGTAATTAGAAAAAAAATTGAGAATAAAAAAATTATAGAATTTTGTTCTTTTTCCTCGAATCTTTTAGTTTTTGTTATAATAACTATTACGTGCTACATTATGGATTGGAAGAAAAACAATTTGAATGTGAAAACAAATTTCTAAATTGCGAAAAACTCTTTGATAATGTTATCAAACCCAATTCAATAAGTCAATTTTAAAACCTCTTAACTTGACTATTTATCTAGCTTAGGCTTCCAGTCAAATTATCTAAAAGTTGTTCTAAAGTAGTCAAATCGACTTAGTCAGTTCAAAAACGATCCAGATAATCAATAAAATTATGGTTTGACTTAAAAAAATCAAGATCATATTGTTTTTTTTTTTTTAAATATTAAAACAACAACATATTAGATTAATTTGATTCTAATGAATTTAATAACTTTATTTTTTTATGAAACTATTTTTTATTTAATTATATGATAAAAAATAAACACCTAAAAAATCAAGCATTAACCCAACGCTAGGACATTTGTTCGAAACCACATCAACTTTATAAAAAGAAAATCAAAATAAATTATGAAACTAAATTCTTAACATGTTTTTTTTTTAAATTGAGAAACAAAAGGATAATATTTATATTTTATAAAATAAATTCAGAAATATATGAACTAATAAATAAAGAAAATTGTTAACAATAATTAATTATTAAATTAAAAAATTAATCTTCATATTAAAAATAACAAATAGATGCACATGAAAGTATTTTACACTAATTATCCTTTTTGCATTTTATCTTAACGGTTAATTGTTGTGGCTAATAACAAAATATTTTATTTTTATAAAACTGTTATATAAATACAACTAATTCATATAAAACAATTCAAGATAAATTAATATAATCGCTTTGATGTTATATAAATACAACTAATTCAAGATAAATTAATATAATCGCTTTGAAATATCATGGAATTAAAAATAAAATAAAAAAATGATGACAAAGCACACAGAAGACTCTGCTAAGAGAAACGAGCAAGGTTGTCAAAAAAAAAAATGGTCATACATGTATGGTAGGCTTTTTGAACGTGAAATTGAGAGGCAGCGGACCTGTAAAAGCAGAAGGCGAAGAGCAATCTATTCTAAGCTGGAATTCCACAGCAAGAATTGTAAGGCGATTCACATGGAAACTGCTGGAAACGAAACCAAAAGCTCAGGCTACTCCTCTAGAACCTGCTATGAACAAAAACACAGAGAGAGCCTCCTGACATGGTGAAAGCTGACTCCAATGAAATCCACAGCCTGTACTGCATCTGAAGGCAAGGAGAAAAAAAATGTAATCATAGCGTAGAAAGAAGAACAGCACTCAAGACTGCATAAGAATGATAAACTGAAAAGACAACAATCAAAGGACTTCCATGGCTACAAAGCAGCAATTCAAATCAACTTATCTACCTGGAGTTCGTTCAATCATGAATGAATGAATGACAGAGAGGAAGAGCAACAGACGCGACACGGATCGCCTAGAAAATCTGTCAAATCTGGCTGGAGACAGACCCAAACGAACACGAAATCAAATGCAAAGCAAGAGAAATATCGCCTGCCTTGTAAATAGAAGAGGCAATTAAGAAAACATGCATTGGACAATGTATTAGATGCTTAATTATGGAACGAAATCGAATTAGTAACTAAAAAACCCCAACCAAAACCCTAAAATCAGTAAAAACAAAGAACAAAATGAAAATGAAAATTTAGAAAAATCACCTGGCTACCGATCATGCTTGCAACTCTCCTCAACTGAATGCAATGTCACGAGCCGGAAGAAGTCAAGGATTGATCGTTGAGTAATGATTTATTTTTCATAATGTATGAATTGTTTTAAAAATATTTTTTATTTAAAAATATATTAAAATAATATTTATTGAAAAAAATAATTTTTACATTATAGTAGTAAAACATCTAAAAACACACACAAAAAATAATTTAAAACTAAAATACACTTAAATATTTTCAAAAAACACAACTAAATCAATACACCAAGCAATAAGACCTTCTAAAAAAAAAAAGTTTTGAAGCAACACGTGATAAATATGGGCTGAAACAGTTCGATGGCAGTAACAGTCATAACTTTAGAAAGAAAAGGGCACGTGATAGAAATTTAATTGGTTAAAACTTAGTTACAACTACTAGTAGTTAGTTATTTAGTTGGAACAATTAGTAAATTTCATTGTAAATAAGCCATGGTACTAGAAAATTCAAAATCAAACAATAAAACAATCAATTATTGCAGTCAATTCACTATGATCTCTCTTTCTCTCAAATTCTTCTATTTTTTCTTTGATTTCTTCAATGTAATCTGTTTGCCAAGAAGGTCTTTGACAAATAGGTATCATAGCCAACTTTTCATAGCCATAAAAAGGTTAATATTACTCAACAATCAACAATGATAAAAAAATAACAGAATTAAAGTGGTCATAAAATATATGACGTTGAACGATGAGTCATTTTTCTAGATCAATGAGGTTTTGATTGGGATTAATTATAAAATTATGATTTGAAAAGGTTTAAGAGTCGTTATCCAATAATATAATTATTAGAAAATTTATTGGCATACAAGAGTTTTGATAAAAAAAACTAATTGTGCATGAGAAAATACATCACTCATAAAGCATCTTATCTATAAGAAGTCGCATTAATGATTGATTTTTTTTCAAAGTCATTTTCATATTCGTTGATCTATCTAAGATTTAAGAAAAATTATTCTCAATACAAAGTCCCTATCTTATGGATTTGAGGTAGATTCTCATCAGTAAGTAGATTTCTTTCTCTGTGAGTTCAAGATAAATTTCTCTCATTGAGAAGGTTTCTCCCTTCTCAGACTAAAATATAACCATTCTAAAATCTAAATTTTAATAGTATTTTTATTTTTATTTTATATTTTAATACCTGGAGATATACTTTACAATGTAGCTTTATAACCTTAAATATTAAAGTCTATAATTATTTCCTAACATTTAATTTAATACTAGAAATATGCATTACATTGTAAAATTTAAACTCCAAATATTAATTAAACAAATTAATTTTTATGGTGTTTTTGAAATTGTATCCACCCTAACGCATTATGTTGTAAAAAGCAGGTATATTTACTACGAGGTCAATATCTTATAATGTAAATTAGCTCAAATATTAAATAAAATGGTTGAAAAACATGCGAGGGGTCCACAAATAATTTAAAGCGATCATTGAATTTTTTTTTTTGAAAATCATTTGGGGTTTGTTTGCTAATAGGTCATAAATATAAATGCATAATTAGGGCTAATAACGTGTTTTCTAAACATGTCATAAAAGAAAAAAAAATGATTTTTTTTTACCAAATTGAGATAGTATAAACAAGACCTTAAAGTTTTACGAGCCATCCTAGCCACGTGGGTTGGGCTTGGTTGGCTTAGCCCACAAATAAGAAAACAAGGCTTCAAACCGATGAAAACCGATCAAATAAGCCAAAAACATATTTGTTTTTTATAAATTTCAAGTTGAAATGGATTAAAGACATTGGGACATGTACAATCATTGTGCAAGCAAAATTTTAAGGTTGGATCATCATAACAAACAACCAATTGTCATGATTATTTGAGTTTGTGAAAAATATAAATAAGAATCAAAGATCAAATGCCAAGATTTCAATGTTTTTAAACCTCTAGCATCCTTAATTAATGATCAATAAGCTTATATGTATATGTAAGAACCAACAATTAATTAAAATGACATAAAAATTATGGATCCAAAGCAATCTTCTTTAGATGAATGCTAAACTAGAATATGCTAAAATCTAGAAAATGCACCAAAACCCAAAATAAAGGCTATATTATATATATATATATATATATATATATATAAACACACATACGCACGCTTAAGTCTTTGGAAATAACAATAAACATATAATCTTTAAAATGCATAGAGAATCCTTAATTAATGATCAATAAGCTTATATGTATGTATAAGAACCAACAATTGATTAAAATGACATTGAAATCATGGATCCAAAACAATTTTCTTTATATGAATGCTAAATTTAGAAACCTAGAATCTGCTAAAATCTAGAAAATGCACCAAAACCCAAAATAAAGGCTATATATATGTGTATATATATATATATAGACACACGCACATACACACACGCTTAAGTCTTTGAAAATAACAATAAACATATAATCCTTAAAATGCATAGGCTTCAAAACCTATAATGTATTGCTTACATATAAACATGCATATGTATTATTTTTATTAATCTAAAAGCTTATTAAACATACAAAAAAAAATTAAAATAATTTATATGAATTTCCAAAACTAAACTCATTAATATAATATATTTTTAAACTCTTCAATTTAAAGAAATTAAATTAAAACTTAAAAACATATAAAAAAAAGATAGGCTAAGCACACAAGTCTGGATTGCCCAGCATGTTTGGTCTATTAAAAATCAAACCAAATGTGCGGGCATAATAATCCAAACCTGCATGCTTAAGCCTTTTTTGTTTTAAAAATAGACAATATATCATTCGAAATGGTAAAGAACATGTCGCCTACTAGTTTTATCTTAGCCATCTTATATGGGTGAATTCTCCTTTATTTTTTAGATACAAAAAATCATTTCCAAGCATTTTATTTTCCTTTAAAAACACTTGGAAAACATGTCATAGAGCTCAATAAATCCTTATCTAACTTTAAAACAACATTTAATTAGTTAAAAAAACCAAAAATTTCTCATAATTAAAAAAACCAAAAACATCTATTTTTTCTAACAAGATAAGAAGTAAAAAAATATATCATTGGAATTCTTCTTATGAAATAAAACTTATTGATATAAAAAATATCTATTTCTATTATTGAAATATGATCAAATAATAAATATCTCATTTTTTTTATTTTCTAACAACTCCTTCTCTCTTCTCTAATGCATTAATAGAAACACAAACAACATGAAACTTTATAACAAAATGTAAAACTTTAAAAAACAATGATGAAAAAGAATAAAAAACTTGGGAAATTGAAGTAATTGAAAACATGCATTATGTATAGTTAAAAAAAAGAGGGACTGAATTTTTGTTTTAGAATCAATTTTAATCCCTAAAGTTTTAATTAATAAAAATTAGTTTTTGGTTTTATCAAATTAAACATCAAACTAACAATATTTTTTTGACATTACAAAAAAAAAACTCATGATCTTTTTAACTAGAATAAATTATCAAATTCAATTTTAAATAAATTGAAGAAAAAAAGTGACATAAAGAATTTAAAGGAGTTAAAAAAAAGAAGAAGCAAGGTCTGAATCCAACGCTTCTTCTCGTGCTACAGTGTACTACAGGTCGTTTCAGACAAGACCAAAACCTTAATTAACGAAAAGGATAAACAAAAACCAAGAAAAAGAAACCTCTCCTCCATCAGAGTCACAGACAATAACAACAATGGGCGAAGAAGAGGAAGAAGAGGAGACAACAGTAAAAGTATCGAGTAACCAAGAAGAAGAGGCATGGAACCTGAGGAAGCAAACCCAGATAGTAGAATTATCAGAGAGACTCATGAGTGGAGATCTCAAAACCCAAATAGAAGCAGCCAGAGACATAAGGAAGCTCGTCAGGAAATCATCTGCAAAGACTCGCACCAAACTTGCAGCTGCTGGGGTTATTCAGCCTCTCATTTTTATGCTTCTCTCTCCCAACTTTGATGCCCGCCATGCCTCTCTTCTTGCTCTCCTCAATCTCGCTGTTAGAAATGAACGGTATCTCGTTTCTTTCTCTCTCTTACCCTTTTCCTTGTTTCTTTTGTCGTGTTATTTATTCCTTTTTTCCATTAAAGTCAGGGCCTTTCCTTTCCTTACTTTTAATTTTTGTAAATGATTGTTAATTTTAGTGACAACTATTGATAGATGAAGAAATGAAAGAATCAAAGGTGAAAGCGATCCTTGATATATCTATTGTTGTAGTCGTGAGTTTTGAAGCTAGTGAAAGAATTGAATGTCTTAAGTGATTAGTTGCGTTGGGGTCTTATGATGGGAAAACAAAAAATAAAGCAAGTTTTTTGAGGTCCAAAATGGAGAAAATTGGAAGATTTTAGCGATTTAAATACCTTTTCCTTTCGGTTGTGTTCTTTAATATACTAATTACTGTGTGTGGGGATGGAATTCCAGTGGAGAGGGCTTTATTGGTTCTTTTAAATGGTGGTTTTCGTTGAGGATTGGTAGTGGTTGAAGATCAGTTCTTTTCAGACTTAAATTGTTCACTCATTTGAGTCTCAATGCCTCAACTTTTTTTTTTAAATCACTTTACCATTTGCTTCTGGACCAAGAGAGCAATGTTTTAGTCCAGTTCTTTGATCACAAGGTGAACTGGGTTCGGTTACACACTTACATAACGAGTTTGGTCATGATAGTTCTGGTTTGGTATGCAGATCTCAGTTTTAATGTTCTTGTCATATCCTTTTAACTACAGCAGTAGCCTTCTGGCATCAGGAAGGAAGTACCCTTTTCTCCTTTCCACCATTGAACTAAGTACCTGTTTTCTGGTCAAAGAAATTTTGGGTCAGTCATGGTAAGCTGTGACAGAATATTACATCTGCAGATTATAATTGGATGTTTTCGTGATTTCTTTCTCTATTTTTCTTTCATGTGATAGTTCCTTACTTTGGGAAATGCATGTCCTTCCTTATTCATTCTGTCTTCATTGACTGGTGTGCTATACTTCAGAAGACA